AAAAGAAAAAAGAAAGATGGGAAGGAAAAAAAAAGAAATTGGAATCAGAGAGCTCCGGAGAACAGCAAAAGTTAATATGGACGAGACAGAGGACTGCCACAAGGGCAGGCTAAAATGAATGGGAAAATACTATTTTAACATTACAATGGCCACTTTTGGGTGATATTATTAGGCCCAATTAAACATCAAGGGTTTCAAAACTACAACAGGCCATACTCGGCATCCAATTAACTTAAAAGAATGAAAGTACAGGAAAAATAACCAACAGTATAGCCACAAGCTTTTGTTTTCCTTGGGAATCCTTACAGTAGTTTGGGGGCTAGTCTTTGGTCCCTCAAATGACCACTCGGATGCAAAGAATGAGACTACTGGGGGTGGATGCAACAGCCACTTTAGCTTAGAAACCATGTCCCAAATAGAAACCAATACCCTTGAGACAGTCTCAGCTCCTAGGTCCCTGTAAGGGACATGCCTGGATGTAAGAGTTCTCTCACTCAGAGAAGCCCAAAGCTATGGCTTCCCACTAAGTATTTATAGTTCATTCATAGTTCTCCCAGTCCAGACTCGACTTACCAATCAAATGTCATTTTTTTTTGAGACAGAGTCTCACTCTGTTGCCCTGGCTAGAGTGTGTGCCATGGTGTCAGCCTAGCTCACGGCAACCTCAAACTCCTGGGCTCAAGAGATCCTCCTGCCTCAGCCTCCCGAGCAGCTGGGACTACAGGCATGCGCCACCATGCCCAGCTAATTTTTTCTATATATATATTTTTAGCTGTCCAGATAATTTCTTTCTATTTTTAGTAGAGACGGGGTCTCGCTCTTGCTGGTCTCGAACTCCTGACCTTGAGCGACCCACCCACCTCGGCCTCCCAGAGTGCTAGGATTACAGGCGTGAGCCACCGTGCCCGGCCAATCAAATGTCATTTTATCATATCATTTTATCATAGCGGTGTTGCTTGGTAACTCAGCTGATATTCCACCTTCATTAGATTGCCAGGGAACTGAGCCAGAAGCAGCTTAACCCATGGTCAATTTCTCACGTAAAAGGGGAGAGAGTTTTGTTAAACTTTTACTCACAAGTATAATGAATCTTAAATTCAGTATTTTACTTCCAAAAATGGTACTAGCAAGAAATAAAAATGAATTTGGACAAATCCATGAATAGCATGGTCAGAAGTAGCTTTTTAGAAATTAGTAAATAGCTAGCTTATAAAGTTGCCTTCATAGGGAAAAACAATTTCCATTCAACATTATACTCTTTAAGACTGCTGGTAAGAATAACTGTTAAAAGGAATGGATAAATGTTCTGCCTGAGTTCTGGATAGTTTGAGAGATAGGATCAACCCCCATGGATTCTACTTTTCCATGGAGGTAAAGATTCCTTAATGCCTGGTTTTTCCACATTCTCATCTTCTATCAAAGCATACAACATTAACTGTTAGACTATAAACCACAGTCTACACAGTTGTCAAAAATCATTTATCCCACAGAAGACAGAGATAACTTGTGACGGATGTCCTTAAAGCAATAATTTATTTTGTGATCTTATTAACAGTAATACTTGTCAATTTTAAGAGGAGCTTATACCTATTAAACCCAGAGTTAATAAGAAGAACATAGGGCCAGAGAAGAAGTATTTGAGAAGCAGCTTGAGGATGCTCTCACATCCTAAGTATCAACAAATCTACATGGGAGTACTGGTTCATAATAGTTAGAACTTAAAGATTTGCCTGAAAATGCCAAGTCTAAGAAATAAATGTGCTCGTGTGAAATGGTGTTTATTCTTCATCTCGATTGTATTGATGGCAATTATACCCAGATTCCCCAATTCGATTAATGATACTTAAATGATGTTGGTACAAGTTTAGGAAAATGATGAGAGTGTTCATGGCAAAATATTTTGCAATAGCTACAACCCTTAGATACAAAGTTGAAGTAAATTAAGGAAAGCTGATGAAAACACTAATTAAACTGACAGCAAAGAGTTTTATTATTAATTTCTGTTTACCAGTAATCATGAAACAGCAGTAATATGGAGCAAATCAATGAATAGATTTGCAACAGTATACTCAACTGTAGTTAAGCTCACATGTAATTGTGTGGATTCCAGAGTATTCACCAGTTGGTAAATCCTATGTGTTAAGAGTCTGGAACAGGAGGCTAGTTATAGCCCAATGCTGGTTTCAACTAGGTACCTAACAACTACACAAGACTCTATGGGGACAAGCAAAAGATTAACCTATTTTGGGAAATTGGCTTAGGAGAATGAATAGAGACATTTTTAAATGTCTGAAATTTGATCAGAATCTATGTATTGCTGCCACCCTGAAAGCAAACAGGAGGTTTTCACTTAGAGGCCACTCTCCACCCTCTGTCCCATCCCAAACTTGGCCCAGCCTTTCTATCCCAGCTTTTCAAACCCTGACAGATTGGCTTATATACTCCAGGCAGGAACCTGGAGGACACTGACCAGCCCAAGAAATAAGATTTAATGATACTGATATTAGGGGGCTCCCAAGGAAATGGCCATTTAATTAAGCAGAGTTTCATAAAGAAGTAGTAGCAGGGATGAAATAATTTAAAAGAATATTTGATAGTACTGGGCATGAGTCTCCAGACTAAAAAGCCCTCCAAGTACCCAATACAATTATCTAATATATAGCAGATCATAAAATTTTAGAACACAAGGATAAAGAGATCAGAAATGCTTCCAGAGATAACAGGTCATATATAGAGGGAGAAAAAAAAAATTACAGATGTGAGAAATTGAAAAAATAAAAAAATCTATCTCATATACACTCTTTCCCCAGAAAGCTACTATAGTATATGCTCCATCTACACAAAGCAGTAAACCAAGAAGGAGGAAGACACAGGAGCCAGGCTCAACCAAAGGACAGCAGTGAAGGAAAGTCCTGGAAAGGCGCTGTGCTGTGCAGGAGAACCAGTGCACACTCAGAGTGGCAGGAAGCAGGTCCCTGTGGAAAGAATGGAACTGACAACGTCACCTATCTGTTTGACCCTTTTGAGGGGAGGTTTATTGGAGTTCTGTCAGAAAGTCTGTAGCCATGTTAGTGACTAGATATTTGCAATACATAAACAAGAAAGGCCCAGAATCTAGAACATAACAGAATAATAATAAAATATAATACTAATAGAAAACAATAAAATAACTCAATTAAAAAACTGGCAAAAGACTTGAATAGGCACTTCGCAAAAAAGGAAATCAAAATGGCCAAAAAACATATGAAACATGCTCATCCTTATTAGCAATCAAGGAATTACAAATTAAAACTATAGTGAGCTGCCCTTACAAAACTGATAAAACTATGAAAACTATGTGTTTATGAGGACGTAAAGCAATAGGAATTCTCACATGCCACTGGCTGGAGTGTAAAAGAGTAGCATCCTATGGAAAATGGTTTGGCATGACAAACGCCGTCCAGTAATTCCACTATTGGGCAAACAGCCCGCAGAAAGGTATAAACATGTGCTTACTTATTATTAAAATTACATATTTATGTTTGTGTGATCATTTAATTATTAAATGTCTTTCTACATGTAAGTAACACAAGGACAAGATGTTGACTCTTCAGTTTACTCATGAACCTAGCACTGTGAATCATATAGCTATTCAGGAAATGTTTATGGAACCAAATTGAATCAGAAAACATTAAGACAGTGATAGGAATTTAGCAAAAAACATTTTTAAAAAGGACAGGAAGTAGAAGTTCACAGACCTGTGAAAAATGTTCAGCCACACCAGTAATTAAAGAAATTAAAATAATGATGAAATATTTTTGCCATAAAAAGACAAATATTAAATAATTATAAAGCTCAAAGCTGCAAAAGTATAGTGAGATAGATCCTCTCATAGGTTACTTGTGGAAGTATAAGATGAGATACAGATGTATAAATTGTGCATTGTTTCTGGAAAGCAATTTGGCAGTTTGTGTTCTTGAAAATAAAGGTGAAAGAAAAGAAAAGAAAAAAGAAAGGTATCCCCAACATTAAAAACTAGTAACATTCCAGTTTTAAAACTATACCAAAAATGTGGCCGGGCGCAGTGGCTCACGCGTGTAATCCTAGCTCTCTGGGAGGCTGAGGCGGGCGGATCGTTTGAGCTCAGGCGAGACCAGCCTGAGCAAGAGCGAGACCCCGTCTCTACTAAAATTAGAAAGAAATTAATTGGACAGGTAAAAATATATAGAAAAAATTAGCCGGGCATGGTGGCGCATGCCTGTAGTCCCAGCTACTCGGGAGGCTGAGGCAGTAGGATTGCTTGAGCCCGGGAGTCTGAAGTTGCTGTGAGCCAGGCTGATGCCACGGCACTCACTCTAGCCCGGGCAACACAGTGAGACTCTGTCTCAAAAAAAAAAAAAAAAAAAACTATACCAAAAATATAATTTAAAAATGTGAGATGAGATTTATAAACTGCTAATTACGAATCGATATAAAACACTGGAAATAGGTGGGCAATAATGGGATAATGGTTACATATATTTTAGGACATCTACAATACAAGCTAGACAGAAATTAAAATGCGAGATTTTTAAAGAACTGATGATACTAAAGAAAATATTGAAGATCTGTTAAGTAAAAATGGCAGACTACAGAATTGCATAAAATAAAGCATGACCTCGATTCTATTAAACATGTATGTGTGTGTATATATAATAGATACATACACAGTCACTAACATGGCTATAGACTTTCTGACAGAACTCTAATAAAACTCCCCTCAAAATGGTCAAACAGATCAGGTGACAGTGTCAGTTCCATTCTTTCCACGGGGACCTGCTTCCTGCCACACTGAGTGTGCGCTGGTTCTCCTGTACAGCACGGGAGAATACAGCTGTTCAAGCAAAACAGACTGCAAATACAGTTTGTGTTGAAAGAAGGGACTTTTACCACTGTACTTCTCACCAATGTTTGTTAAGTGTAACTTTCACTGCTTTAATACTTAAAAAAGAATCATACTAAACATCTCCATTTACACTTACCAGATCAATATTTTGCATTATATCCTGAAATGAAGGATGAGTTCGAAATTGTTCAAAGAGATCCCGTTTGTAAAGCAGTGCGTACACCAAGTTTGGGTTGTGGTGAAGGGAATTTGTCAGGCAGGAATTGATGATCTCTAACATCATTCGAATCACTTCTTCGATGACATTTAGGTCTTGTGCCTTATAAAGAAAGAAAACCCCAATACAGAGTCAGTGTTTTTCTCCTTGCAACAGAATTAATCAAAATAAGAGTAATTGCTCTAAAATTACGACAGTATTGGAAAGGTCATGTAGAAAAGCTCTTCAAGACTATTTCTATCAAGAATCTTTAAGATTAGGTTTATTAGTTACTAAAGGACTTGGGTTAAAATTTTGTGAATTTAGTATGGTGATAATTACGAATTTCACATAATAAATTATAGATTCACCAATCTAGAGGGAAATCTGGAGCTTGAGTAGCTCCTCATTAAATAGATCCTAATTTGTATTCTCATCATCATATCCCCCTAAAGTGTTAGACTTCCACAATGTAAGTAGCGTAGGGTCACACTGACTCCAAGAAAAGTGCCTGATTTAGAAAATGACCTCACTTCTCTACACTATCATTTCAATCTTTATATTTAAAGATAAATAGACTACGGTTTTGTCACCGTTTCCTCAGAGTTAACAGTCTTCGGGAATCTGAACATAAAATATTTGTAAGACGGCAAAGCTCAAAGTAAGCAATCAGCAAACCTCTTAGAAGCAAGAGCAATGGGAAGAACAAAAACATGGGTTTATTTACAATAGGCTTTCCTTCTCCTCTTTAGTTTTCTCTCATATGTTTGGTGGATGTGGTTCTTTAAGGTATGTAAAGGAATATCTAAGACAATTATATTATAAACAAGGGTGGGTAGAGGAATTTAAAGGGAGGAAGTTTCCTATATGTCACTTGAATGGGTAAAACGTCAACACTACTAGACTGTGATAAGCTATGTATGTATAATGTAACATCTACAGCAAATCTGCACAAAGAGATACACACAAAAATACTATAAATATATCAAAATGGAATTCTAAAAAAATGTTTACATTTCTACAGGAAGGCAGGAAAAAAAAGACAGGCAAGTAAAAAACAGGGAACAAACAGAAAACAGAAAGTAAAATGGCAGTTACATATCAATACACTAGTTGCAAATGGTCTAAATATAGAAACTAAACCCCGAAGACTGGAAGAGTGAATTAAAAACACACAACTCAACTATGCTATATATGAGAAACTTCAAGTAATAGTTCATTTCAAGTATGGTTAGGTTAAAAACAAAAGGATGGACAAGATATACCTATGTAAACATAAATCAAAAGAAAGCAGGAGTGGCTACACAGTTGGCCCTCCATATTTTGGTAGGGGGGATTGGTTCCATGACCACCCTCCCCACCCCAAATCCATGGATACTCAAGTCCCTTATATAAAATGGCATAGTACAGTTGGCCCTCTGTTTCCTTGGGTTCCAAATCTGCAGATTCAACCAACTGAGGATTGAAAGTACAAACAGCTGATCCTCTATATACTCAGGTTCCACATTCAGGGACCAACTGTATTATTAATAGTATCAGATAAATTATACTTCAGAGATTATGTAGCTTGCAAAGTAAAAAATATTTAATGTCTTTTTACTTTTTACAGAAAAAGTTTACTTCTGCTCCACAGACAAAAAAGTGAGCCTATTTCCAATTTACCTCTTGCTCTATGTTCCTAAAGATAATGTCCAATATTCAACCAAAACGTATGAGACACACAAAAAAGTAGAACAACTCATGTCCGAGAGACAAAGTAATTAGCAGAATCTGACTCAGAGATGTAAGATACTGAAAATGTCAAAGAGGAATTTAAAAGAACTATGATCTACAAAACCTACTGTTTGAATTGATGGGGAATTTCAGCAGAGTTGAAAACTATAAGAAAGTGACAAATGGTAATGCTAGAATTAAAAAAAGTGGCAATAGCAGTGAAAAATCCTTAGATAGGTTCAAGAGTAATCTGGACGGAGCTGAGGAAAGAACTGTCAACTTGAAGACAGGTTAATAGAAATTACACAAACTAAACTTACAAAGAGAAAAGAGAAAACAGAACAGAGAATCAGACAAGAGCTGTAAAATATGAAATACGTTAATATACTTGGTAATTGACTCCCAGAGGGAGAAAAGAGAAAGAATGGGGCAAAAGAGATATTTGAAAAGATAATAGCTGAGCATTTTCTATAAATAATCAAAGAAGCAAACAACAGATCCAAGCACCTCAGAGAATAATACCCCCAAAGCCACCACCCCCCAGAATAAAAAAAACAAAAACCACCTCACACTTAGATACATCATATTCAAATTATTGAAAATCAAAGATAAAGAGAAAATCTTGAGGGCAGCTAAAGGGGAAAAAAACCACATACCACATTAAACACAGAGGCACAAAGATAAGAATCACATCAGACTTCTCATGAGAAACTATACAATCCAATGTAAATATAGAGGCATCACTAAAACACTGAAATAAAAAAGTCAACAAAGAATTCCATAAACGGCAAAAATATCTTTCAAATATGAAGGTGAAATAAAGATCTTTTCAGACTAAAATAAGCTGAGATAATTCATGAACTGTATACCTGCACTATACAAAAGATTAAAAAGATTTCTTCAGGCAGAAGGAATATGGAACCAGACAGAAATGCAGAGGTACACAAGGAAAGAAAGATATTTCTCTTATTTTTAATCATTCAAATGAGAACTGATTTCTTGAGCAAAAATAGTAAAAATGTATTATAGGTTTACAGCATATATATAACATGTACAATATATCACAAGATTCTCCTACTGATGATCATCCAATTTATATCCAGTTTCCTTGTTTCTATGAACAAGGCTGACAAGCATCCTGGTAGACCTGTTACATATGGGGACTTTATTTCTCTGGGATAGATTCCAGGAAAGGGATTGCTGAAAAGGCCATATTTGTAATGTCAATAGAGTAGACATTGCCAGATTGTTGTTTAAAGAGCGATGACAATACATTTATACTGAAAACGTAAGAAAGCCCTTCCCTTCATTTTCTCACCAACAGGAGGTAAAATTGTTCTTTTTTAAAATTTGCTGCCTGAAACATATAAAGTAATACCACGTTACTACCTTAGTAATCATTTCTGTGAACAGCAGGCAAGTTTCAGTATTTTTTCATATGCTACCATGTGGAGTTATCTGCACTTGAGTGAGCTGTTTCTTCACATACTTGACCCATTTTTTAAAAAAATGAGCTGTCTCCTTACCAATTTCTAAGAGTTCTTTGAACAGTGTAATGCTTGACTCTCAGAGTTGCCCATTTTGTCTAAGTTTTAAACATTTATTATTTATAATCTTTTCTTAGGATTTTAAAAATCTGTATTTATAGTTACATACCCCTTCTCATTTCTAGTATTATTTTTGCTTTCTCTTTTTTCCCCAAGATAAAACTCACCAGAGGCTTGTTTTATTAGTTTTTTTCCAAAGAACTAGCTTTTGCTTTTGTTAATTTTTCTCACCATTTCTTTATTTGTTTCATTAACCTGTCCTTATTTCCATTATTTAACAATGTTTATTTTCATCCTTTCTCCTTTTTCTAACATCAATACTTGAGACTTTAAATTTATTGTTCAACCACAACCTCCAGGTTTTGGCATGTAGTAGTACTATACTAATGACCTATTGCTGAAAACAAATTGCCCCAAAACATAGTCTCTTAGTACACAAATATTTATACGGGTCAGGAACCTGGATGCAGCTCAATTTGGTACCTCTTTGGCATCCTTTACATCCTTCAGTTGTACAACCATGTGTCTTGGCGTTGGCTTATCTTTATCTTGCTCAGTATATTCAGAGTGCACTGACAACCTAGTCTCTTCCATAAAAATAATAATACTAATACTACTAATAATAATGCATAATCTTTTCTAATTACTATCTTCTAATTTATTAACTTACTCTGATGGAGTCTAGTATACATTAATTCAAATTACAGGTGTGAGCTATTGTACCTGGCCTATTTATTCTTCTTTATAAGTATTATTCCTTCATTTACCTTTGTGGATAATAAAAATATTTTAGAGTATTTCCAAAACTGTTCTATTAATTTTTAATTCTGTTTGGATTAATCTATCTTATTTATGATCACGACTATGCTGTCTTTCTTAGCATTAAGTTAGATTTCAGTATATATTTGCAATTTTATTATGCAAGCTCATCTAATGTGGCTTAATCCTCCCAAATTTATAGGTCATGTGGTAGCTCCCTAGAGTCCTTAGTCTGAAACCAGGTCTCGTGATTGGTATCTCAGGGCTCCTGTCCTGCAATCACACTGGAGACAGTATTGGCAGAGCCTGTCACCAAGCCAGTATCAGTTTGTCTCAAGATCCCATTATGAGGCTGTTTCTGTGTCCTCCCGCCTCCCTAGTCATGTAACTTAAGAGTCATTATTAGTACATTCATTCACGCTCTTTTCAATAAAAGATTTATTCCAGTTCCCAGTTTCTAGCAGGGAACCTGGAACTTGTATCTTGCCTGTCACCCGGGGATCTTCAGTCCTTTTACCCTACAGTAGCTGAGCTCCCACCACTCCTCCTCCTTCCAGCCTAGCAGCTCACCCTTTCCGATCCTGCTCCCTGCTTGCACTGCTTCTTCTGTTTCTGGCCCATCATGCAAAAGCTATCTCATTTTGGGATATGGCTACGTGTTTCAAGTATTTTCTTGTTATAGTTCATCTATTATTGTTATGTTTTTGGAGCAAAGAGGAGGAGATTAGGCTTCAAATTGGGAACTAACAAGACAATCTTGACCAGAAGTAGTTCTCTCAATTATATCTTCATTTCATTTTGGTGTTTGAATTAGTAGAGAAAGAGGAGAAAACTTCAAGTTTCCTAATTCTCTCTCAAGGTCATTTAAGGGTAACCCAAGGAGGTAGTATGATTACTTTAGAAATAGGTCAGTCAAAATATTGGCTTTCTGCAAAATTTTACGTTTATATATATATAATTCATATACCTATTTATGTTAAGTATAAGCCCTGATATATTAACCTTACATTTCCAAAATTATTTATCTGCTGATAGTATACAATTTCTGCTTTCAAACAAATTGAGAGTTTATTCTCAATGTTTAAATAAGTAATTTTCTGGAAT